TGGGGGGGTACTTTTTCTGCGCCTCCGCCTGGCGGAGAATTTTCCTTAAATTGGGACACTGCACCCACAAGTTACGTTTACGCATTTCAGAAACACTATGATACTTCAATGGTAGCCAGAGGCCTTTCCACTTTCATCAAACGAATCACTGGATACCAGCCAAATTTTTTTAATCAAATTAATACCCTGACTCCTTTGCGCATATTTTTACGATTAAGGCTGACTGCTACCAGACTACATTTTGTTATGCAAATGATGGAACGGTTAGACCAATACCAAAGATCGTATAGCGCGCGTAGCGGTGCTATACGATCTTTGGCCAATACGAACAATATGGTTAATGACGTCATATTTCTACCACGCCTTCATTCATTCATCAACATCATCAGCTGACGAAACGTAGTAACAACGTACACATGCGACACACAAACGTAAATGTACACAAATATCGTATTTCCGCGAGCGACTCATCAACTCGTGCTCTTACATGCAGCAGCGACACCAACAAGAAAGCCTGTAGTATTGGTAGTGACGTTCAGTGATCATCTTATCACAGAACAAGGATTTCATCCAAAATCTTGAGACGATTTTGAAATACAGTAGGCCTAGTCCATATCCTGTGGAACACAATTTTGGGAAAGGTGAGGAGAGACACAAACAAGCCATCATTCACAATTCGTATCAATTTTAGCACGCTGAACCCGTGCTTTGAGTTTCGAAATGATGCATGAAATTGCGCAATCTGAGCAAGTAACTAGGATAAGCTTTTCCTTGTGCAAAAGTTGGCGAGGGTGTCCCATGGCTGTGGTCTCAACGAGTGAAGAGAATTTAAGCTTTCACGAAGAAGTTGCAGCTGAGTCGGTTCCAATTGCAGAATGTGACAAGGTCTCTGGCGAAGCTCGGAAGAGGCGTCACCGCCGAGGGAGGACCCGCCACCGACACCGACTTTCGAAGCACAGACGAGACCAGCAGCGGGCACGGTGTTTGAAAAGGGTCATGGGGGCTCCAAGGAATGACAACGAGTACCTGATGAGCCAGTACGCCCAGGGACAGCTTCAAGAGGTGCCTTTTTATGAGTCACATCCACCTCCTCATCAGTTCAACCATCCAGCCTGCCAGTGTCCAGGGTTGTCCTTACAAAGCTGCCTTTCCTCCTTAGGGATGGAGGACATTACCCCACAAAGAGGATCGCCAGATACCTGCAGTTCAAGCCCCTCCGACTACAGCAGCTTGCCAAGCTCCCCTGACGAGGACAGTTGTCACTATGGTTACAGAGACCTCTATCCAGCTTCTTACAAACAGCCTGAGAGAACTGATCATGCTGAAGTAGAAATAGGGCATGGCATCATTATAGGTGGAGCAGATGCAGATTTCGTGAAGAGAAACTTTGAAGAGGAGTATGCCAACAACATCACAAGGGGCCTGGAAGAAGCGTCAAAGGAAGAACTGATCTTGAAATGCATAGCACTTATGAAGAAGCTTAGGGAACTTGAGCAGGGCAAGGTGTCAAGAGTGGCAGAAAATCACGTTTTGAGAAGTGAACATATGTTCTGCTAGGCTCTAATTTGCTTTTGACGCAGCAAACACAGACCGAACAGTGTCCTTCATAAATGAGCCAAACTGAGGAACTGACTTAGAGCAATTGTGTGCAAGTATGTGTAATTAACCTATTATTAGCACCTAATAACTATTCACTCAGAGAGGCCATACATTTGATTTGCAGATAAATAGTAACATAAGCAATCACTTGACGGTCCCTATTTTCGACTTTCGTGAAAAAATACCGGTATTTCCAAAAGAAAGAAATGAAAAGCCTTTTTAGCAATTGTAAACATGTGAATCATTGATTTTACTTCAGATTTTGTAAAAATCACATCACTAAGCATCATCGTTTATATAGATATCTGTTGACACAAGTTTTTTCTTTTTTTTATTGTTATGAATAGGAACATTTACTAAGTTACTCGTTTGGATTACTGATAATTTTTCCACAGTATTTTTTTATTCAGATTTTAGGTATATGTAATCTGTTTGCTTTTTTCAGGACAAAATGGGTAAAATACTAGGTAATGGACATGATGTACTTGAACTTCAACACAGAGATACTATTTCTAGAACTGTATCTGAGTCAACTTTCCTGGAGATGCCCAGCAAGATGTTTTACTCGGCAATGTTGCTGGGCAAAATACGTTCATTTATACATGTACATGTATCTCATGAACAATTTGGTGACAACATACCTTTACTGATTATTTAGCAAAATTGGCTACTGTTAGCATCACCATGAAACTGTCACAATACTTGGGGTCATGCGAATTCTTATTCAGAAGTTTTTATTGTTTTATTCAATTGTGATTGTTTTTAAATGTCTTCAGAAACCTTTCAAAAAAATTTTCTCATGGTTTTAAGAAATTGTCCTTTCAGAGAGCTACGTGTATGAAGGCAACTTGGCTGCATGGAGCAAGCACGATGTGATTCCTGACCATGACAACCTTTTCTCCTTCGCTGTTCCTGGGACATCTCATTCACCCTTTGACCTACAGGTCACAAGGTCAGCTGGATGAGGAAAGTTCTAGGTAAACCTGACAATTCAAATATGGGCATGATTTTACTTTACTAACGTTGGGTTAGTTAAAACTTGTAATCTCAAAATTTTGCATTGGAAAGGAACTTACAGGTTTTGTTTTTGGAAACCAATTCACAACCATCATTCAGTGTAATGTTACGATTTAAACTTTCGGTATCCACATCAACTGTATTACTGTTTAATTTGCGTACATTAAATTTTTGTTGAGTGGTAGTCCTGGTTGGTTTAGTTTTAAAACTTGTTTCCCTAAAGTGTCAATTAAGTGTACACACTCTGAACATCCTTTTTTCTAATTACCATCTCGTAACTGATTTGAAGAAGTGTTGTAAAACGTTGGTTGTCTTGCTACTACTGGGTTTCTTCTGTCTTGAAATGAGCAACCCTTGTATTATCCATATGACTTTGTTTTCACAGGAGATGCCTATAGAGTGGACCAGATACTTCAGTCTTGACCACCTTCGACATATTGGTTACCTAATACATGTAATTACATAATGTAGGACTTGTGAATTAAAATTTAAAATCCATGTCTCCAAGCACCAGATTTCTTAATGCTTTAACTTTCTTTATTTTTCCAAGTGTGACATCACTTCCAGCATTGTAACATCATTTCAGGAAGGAGGTTAACCTCCCAACTTTAATCTTTATTGTCCTTGGAATCAGAAATCCATGCATGATCAAAGATTTTACAAAGTTATGAGAATATTAAGCTGATTATTCCATTTTGACATCAAACCATCTGAATTTTTAAAAGTAGAAGCATGAGCTTTATCCTAAACATTAAAAAATTGCATTGCATTCTAAATTTACCTCTGGCTGATGGTCCTCAGGTTTTAGCCAAGTCATCTGATTTTGACATGCCATGTGATAATAAGCCATGTCCCCAATACAGTGTGCAAGAAAACATTCATATTTTTGTTCAGGCTTGCATGTGGAATGTAATGATTCAATAAAATCTATTTTCTTTACAAGACTAAAAAAAATATGCAAAACTGTATTTTGGAGTATGTCTGCCAACCTTTTGTTATTATCTGAAAGACTCCTGGGTTGGGTCATACATGTATTTGAGGGTGCATTGAAAACTACTAAACCATGATGAACTTGACACATCAACAGGTGTACTCAAAAATAACTTTGGGTGGAATTATGACATGTACAGAGTACATGCACTTGTTCAAATTATAACCATACTTGTAGCATTGTTAAGGTATGAAGCAATAAAATGTGTTCTGGTGGAAAAGTCTACATTCAATCCAAAGTATTTCAACTACTAATAAGGAAGGCAAAGGAAATATATTATACAAGCTCTTCCAGAGGGGTGTATTTGCAATAAAATTTCAAGTTTCACTCATAACTGTTTGGTACTTTGTGTTTGTTAGTTCTTGTATTTTCATTTTTATGAAGAATTGTAAATTAAATCAGCTACGACCACTCCTCCACTCGATATGCACTCTGTACTTAACATGCAATGTCCACAAAATTCAACAATTTCTGATTATTGACATTTTATTACGACCAAGAAATATGCATAAAGCAAGTTTTTATTGTACTTGTAGATGGTTTAAAAGTGTAGCATAACTTTGAAATACTGTCCAAAAGATGTATGTAATTTGGATTGGTTATACAGAAAACAGAAAATTTACACTTTGAACAAAGCTTTCAAGGATTCCAACTACTGTACATTCATGGAGGAAGGACACAGGAATTTGAACTGCCCGGGCTATAACATCTGGCCAATTACCGCTTTCTGGCATGTTCACAGCCAGAGCGCAGCAAATACTTGATACACACCACCTGTTTCACAACCATAAGCCCCTTCGTACCCAAGATCATCGTCACAATTTTTTGCTGGTAATCTGCACTTAAAATGTTGTGTACTGCAGTACAGGAAGTTGAATATTCATGTCATCGTTGGTGCTTGGTTTGATCTGACATCAAATTGAATGCTTGCTCAGTTTTATTAGGCTGTGTACCCGAAGTGTCCATGTGCAGTGCCAGTTATTGCCCTCATCGAATACTTTCTTCTGGACTTATTTTTGGAATGAATATCCCAGTTGTTTATGATATTTTGCATTTTTATTTATTATTATTATTACAGAATTTACACCAAAAGGTATTTTATGAGATCTCATGATCATGCCTTGGGATAAAACACCGCATTTTGTGTCCTGTGGTGGTCAACATGTTGGCCAGTGTAAGCCATATTCATACAAAGACTTTGAAAACTTATGTTTTGAAGTGACAAAATAAAATTACAAACGTCGCATGGATAATGGAAAAGTGCATCAAAATCTTTTGTAAAAATATGACACCAAAGGAATGTAAGACACTTATTTATTTCCTGGTCACTGTGATAAGTTGTAGTTAATTGCAAAGAAAATACCACAAAAATTGCTCTGATATTAATGGCCCCACTTGTCCCGCTAAGCTGCAGGCAGTAATCAGGATTTTTGGAAAGTTTACTATTGTTCGTCTGATGGGGCGGCGATGATCATTGAGCACTTTGATGTGCCAGAGTTGTAACTCCTTCAGTGTCCTTCCTCCATGGTACATTTTACATTCTTCAGGAAGAGAAGACAAAGGGAGAGCTCTTTAACCAGTCCAGTTGTGACATTTTGAGATTTGACAGGGATCAGTCCCAAAAGACATGTCGCTACAGTTTTAATTCCAAAAAGGTACAGAGCAACTTGGGCAAATGCAGTTGTTTTTTTATTAGAGACTAACAATAGGAGGGAGTGAATGTGTGTGCCATTTCTTCTTCCTCATACTGAAATATTGCACAGTAATGTCATGCATTTGCTTATGGAGAACTGATGACCTTTTTACGTCAATGTTTCTATAGTGACAATGGATTTCTGTTATGGAACTAGGACAACAGGTGTAAAATGCTGGAGGGCACTCGGATGTGCCATATAAGGACGTATAGATCCAATTAATCAATACATTGATTGCCTGTCATTGTCAAACTCCAGCTGGGTAGAAACTTATTCACTAACCACACAATGTACACATGTATATACATGTAATTATTTTTATCAAGGCATATCGATGAGTTGCTAACCATTTGAATGAATTTCCCAAGATTTATTATACAGTCAACCCTTGTTATTACAAGCATTGTTAAGACAACATCCTTCGTATAACAGCAAAATGTTTAGGTCTCAATCCTTTATTCAGCACTATTTTCATTCCTGTTTCAAGAAGGTACTTTTTCAGGGCCCTCAGTAATAGCAGTAAGACTTACTAATGAGGCTACCCCGATTAAATAAAACAGTAAATAAATAAACTAAATACTTTGCAAAGGCTAAAGAATCTGTTATCAATGGGGTTCAACTGTAATCATTTACAAAGTTTTAAATATTAAATGTAGCTGGCTAAACTTCAGCACATTTTAAAACATACAGAAAAAAATGTGCAGTGAACAAGTACATATATACAAGTACAACATGAAACTTACTGAAGCTTTACATGTATATCTTTTGGGGCATATGTACGAACACCGCATGTTCATTAGTAAATATATGCATTAATTAATGTAATTATTCATACAATGTTCATGTACAGTTTGACATGAATTCATGTAAAGTTTTACAAGCTCACCCATGAGGCATTTAATATGAAATCTACTTTTAGCAAAATTGAATACCTTACCAAGAGAAATGGACCCATGGCAAAGGTGATCTTCTATTCCTACAATGCTTCAATGGTACCACCATTCCTTTCCTTATGTCCCTCTGGGTATCTGTTCTGGGGTGGGGGAGAGTTACCTTAGGAATGTGGCTCCCAAGGTGGTGCTAGCATCCCAATCTTCACCACACCTCTGTAGGGACTCGTTCATGATGCCGACACATTCTTGAAAACTGTCTAATGCAGCTTGACTGACGGACACTGCAAAGGATTGAGTGAATAACTAAGATTGTTACAAGGTGAATACAGCTAAGGCAAGGAAGAGGATTGTCATTTCATATTTCACACCACTTGAGGGACCTGAGTCCAGTCCTGCTTAAATTCCAACTGACACCAATAACACTTACTAAGGTTTTCAATTCTTTTTGTCTCTGTGTCACCTTTGCTGTGTTGGCCAGTGTCACAGACACCAATGTAGGATGTCTGTATGCTTCTCAAACTATCCAAAAGCTGAAAGGGAAAACAATAAACCTATAAATATTCAGAGTCTCATATTAACAAACAAAATAGTCACCCTTGCTCAATTCACTGCCTTCATTGTCTTATTCCAACAGCAACATTGACAAGTGAAGACCAAGCAAAGTAATGTAGAAAGTTTGAACTCTAACCAATTATTGCACTTACAGTAGTAAATTGTTGTAGCAGGGAATATACCCTCTTGACTGCTGGTCCTAGATCAGTTAGTCGGGGTGGGGTCTTGTTACACCATTGCCTCATCTCACTCTCAAAACAATAGGAGAAGCTGGTTACCAGCTGAGCTAGCTCTGACAGTACCAGCTTCAGGGTCTGAGTCACTTTAGTAACAGCCTTCTGGTCACTCTGGGGAAAATCGTGCTGCAGCAGGACAGAATGACCAAGGAAATTGTTTTTCATCTTGAATGACTGTTCAAGGTCGGGTTGGTGCAGTAGAGCTTTAGTCAACAAGTGGATTGAATTTTCAGTTTATGACTGGTTGGTTTTCCTGGAATTTCATTCCACAGCTTTTCCTCCCAAAGTCCCAAGGCAAAATCTGAACAGAATATTTCTTAGTCCTTTTATAATTTTTAAGGGTGCCCAAAGTTTCTTGGCTTCTGAACAGCTAAAAGAAATAAGAATAGACTGATTGCACCCAGTGAGTCACATGACCTACAGTGGGTATTAAATATCAACAATTACGATGTCCACCAAAAGCAAAGTGTTTCGTAAGTATCATTTTCCAAAAATAATGCGGACGGTAGGTACCGTACTCAGACTACAGATGTACTGGGTACTAAACCGTAACCTGGCTGTATAGTTTGTAAACATCACCCAAAACACACGTTGTTATGGGGTCGATACCCACTATAGGTCACATGATTTAGCAGGCGCAATCGGTCTATTCTAGAGGTATACACGTAGAAATAGTTTATAGCATTTGCTACCAAACTTTTCAACACATCATTACACATCTCTTAGCTGTTCAATACAATTTCAAAAAGAGAGCATACATCTTTTACTGATATTGATAATTTCATTATTTATAAGATCTACTATAAATATTGCCAGGTGGTTAATAGTGGAAAATAAACTGAGCAACTATTTTTGACTGGCACCTGTTTTTTAATAGCTCCAAGTTGGGCCTCGGAAGCCTGCACATCCTTGGTCAGTTTACTGATCTCCTCATCTAATTTGCTTCTGTCTGGTGGCTTTGGCCTATAAAAGTGTCAGTTCTCTCAGACATTTTATTTCAGAAATTTTTCTGGATCTACCAAAGTCACTGTATAGTTGAACCATATGGCACAATCATAGAATGTAACATAATGGGGCATCAAGTACTTGACAAAGTAATAACACCAGGGTTTTTAACCATAAGACATTAAAAATCAAGTAAAACCTTGGTGTGGAAATTTGGCAGAGTAAGGAAGGTGGGGATTAACGGCGTAATGATTGATTTCCTGACATTAGTTATTACAATAAAATTACACAGTCCAATTAACTCTGATTTTTTTAATTACATAAGAGTAATACATGTATATGTCCACACAGTATATCATATGTGGTTTTCATCGGAGTAGCTCTGAACAAAAATGCAGGCATTTGTTGAAATTTCAGTAATGGGTATGTTTTAGGTTTGGATGACACTTTGGTCTCTCCTAGGTTCCTCTAGAGTTTCAGATTTCTCCTGTAAGTATGCTATGAGGTGTTTCAGCATTGTTGCTTTGGAGGTAGTTCTACCTTTATTCACATGTACCCTCTGTTTCTTTCATTCAGCCTTTCCTCTCCTTCACTCACCTGTGCCCTTCTAAGCCCTGTTCCTTGAGAGAGTTTTCTATCATTCGCAGCAGATCTGGGGGAAGTAGATAAAGCTTGGTAGAGAAGAAATCCTTGAGATCACGCTGAGCAGCCAAGGTGCTGATGTATTGACAGTCGTGATCCATCTGCTCTTCCACAGTCATACTCTCACTGAGTTCAGGATAGAATCAGGAGGAAAGTTGAATGTGGCTCCAGTGGATATGATTTGCCTGTTTCTCAGGAAAGGAACATCATTTTTAGGCCTTAAAGCCTAGCATGTACATGTACAGAACTGATGAGGTAAACATTAATAAAAAGACTCAGTACTCCAGAATGTCTTGTGTGACTGTGTTGTGTGATGGGGTATTCTCTGTCACTCTTTATATTTGCAGCTACTCTGCAGTTGCTTGCATTACAGTCTTTCCAATTTCCGATCCACAATTATCTTCCAAACTCTTGAGACACTGATAGTACCTGATAATGCCTGGACTTGCAAGGCTTCTCTTCTGTGGGTTGTCAGCTGTGTCCACTATGCACAAGATATCTAGTAACTGATCCCAGAATGCAATCAGTTTGCTGGATGAAGAAGTTCCCTGCACACCAATACCAATATAATTAACACTTTTAACTCACTGAAATAAAAATGATGTTTTAACTGTACAATTGTAAATACCAGAGAAAGTCTACACTGTCAAGTCTATCAACTTCAGGAAGCGCAGGTAGAGCTAGACTTATACTAGATTAAACAGGTTATCAAAAGAATCTTAGTTTTAAAAGGGAAACAGAAAAAAAGGAAAAAATTACAGCTACATGAAGGCAATGTGTTCATCAATATTTTCAATAAAAATCCCAAAAAGATAATGCAGTCATGCAGAGGGCTAGTTTCAAGGAAAGAACAGGTGAATATTTTGACACTTGATATTACTGAGGCTCTTGTCTCTTAATGCTTACTGCAATAGTTATGGATAATTTGGCTGAATTGGTTTGATCTCAATCAACTGGACTGTACTGACATTGTGTTCTCACCCTCATTAGATCGATTTCATCTGCCTTGCAGAGCCCCATCATGGTTGATATCTGCAGAAGACCTGAGAGTAAAAGGTCAAGGAAAATGACACTCAATTGTCCAAACAAATTATGAAGTTCTGAACAAAAAACTCATCTTTATTCAAGCTTGATACATGCTGATTTTTAGTACAATGGTGAGTAGACATTGCCACAGCCTAAGCAATTTCAGTAAAATCTAGGTAATTATGGGTTTGGAGAGACTTTTGTATACTAATGAGTTTTGTTTAACCAAAACCTTTAGGAGTTTGGCGAGACTGAAGTAGGTAGAGCCCATCCTTTAATATTTATACTTAAGTTGATGGTTCTTTACAACTACAACATTAAGAATGTGCCATGGTATTAGTTTTTTGCATGATAGAGGATTTGAAAGACGAAGGAAAGTCCCCAATTAAAACTGTAGAATGAATGAAGAGTTACTTTTTAGATAAACAGCAGATGAGGAAACTTCTTTAGTAATTTATATCTGGTTAAGGATAAGGGGTCACAAGATATTCAGTTGTGGAAATGCCTTGTAGGAGTGTTGAAATTGATTGAAATTCAATGAACTCACACTGCAACCTGGAATCCACCTGCGTTTCACTCAGCACATACTGATTGTCCAACATTTCTGCGAGCTTGCTGTCAAACCTACAAAGAAAGTAGAGCTTTAATCATAACCATTTTATGTATAACAGAGACAAGTCTAAATTTAAACTGTGAACTCCTCTCATGCCAAGCCCCACTTCCCATGGGGCCAGTCTTACCGTGAAAACAGCCACTGTAACAACCTGATCCTTGCTTCACCAGGATGAAAGAGCAACTCTGAAATCCAAGACTCATCTACACCATCTACATAGGGACAGTCAAGATCCTAGAAAGAGATCAATTAAAATACATGTAGTTACAAACATTACAGAGGCAGCTAGACCTATCATGTGTGTCCACTGTCCATTGTCCCAACCTTGGTCCACTGCCTTGCTCGACCATATCCACATTTAAAAGAGGCGATCTGTAGAATCCCACATGTGGTTACTGGGACTACATCAGGTATAATCAGTTTCTATATTATCACAGTAACTCTATTATCGCAGTATCAGAAATTTTGAATTTTGCGTTGCCAGTGAGTTCTCAATCGGCAATATTCACCCTGGTAATCAATAAATTATGGCCTGAGGATAAGTTTTATTAAAATAAAGTGAAAAATTCTGCCTGTTTCTGCAAGTTTTTGATAAATTTTAACGAAAGATGTAATTTTTCCGCAATTTGAAAATTTTCCTTTACCATGTCAGTCATTACCTACCGTCTATCTCTTTAACAGTCATTTTTAATGCCATCCTACCCTTGGATATCCGTTGCTGGGTTCCCATACATGTATGTTACTTCCAAAATGGTAAAGGCGTCCAAAGACACATTTTAATCACAAAACTGTCCATTTTTTGGAGTCAAAATAAGGATTCCTGCACTAAAAAACTTATTGCATGAATAAAGCACGCCCCTCCATTGGACTCGTATCACTCCAGGGCAATTTAGCAAATAATTACGTCGGCATTAATGTCTCAATTTTTTGTTTTTCTTATACAACTTAAAGGATTTTGCAAGGAATAGGTACATGTAGCATTTCCAACAATAATTTTGAATCCTTCCGTGGACACCAATTTAAATAAAAAGATGAATGTTAAAGTTGTTGCTGTATTTAAAATGGTGGTAAACACGTTCTAGTGAAACAATCAAGTTATTCCTTGTGGGATTAATACATATACAGTAAGTGTAAGGTGACTGCAATCATTCCCATCTTTTTCTCTTGGTGTTTGGCATCTTATACGAGGAGACTCAAATAAATGTAGTCAATTACAGGTAAGATGGAACATTCACAAAATGAGGTTATTTTGTTTCCTAAACTGATCATTCCATTTATCTTTGTTTTTCATAAACAAAGTGCTTTAAGGGCCATCATAGAAACCATTTCTTGTTACCACGATAATAGAGACTCCACCTCTGGTTGCATAGGCCTACGGAGCGTACACAGATTTGCTGAGCTATCGTAGAGGAAAACAAATTGAACCACAAACAGAATCTTATGAATGTAGTTAAAAAGTAAGAGTTAAACATCAGCAAATATAGAATAATTCAGGAAGGTGAGCGAACAATCTCTGTTAAAATTTGATTGGGAAATGTGATAACTAAGCCTATCGCAATAATATTAATAGTACTTAATAGAGTAACCCATCCTACATGTACAGGATGTAACAAAGGACAGATTACCCCCAGGTCTGTGTGGTTTGACATCCTCCGTGTTCCCATGGGTGTAGTGGGCATCAAACCCGACACAGTTCTGGGGGTAGGCCTAGTCATGGTAGTAACACAGACCTATCTGCTGTAGCAAACAGTCAAGTTGTCCAAACCCCTAATAATGAATGCTGAATCAGAGCATGCAGAGCAAGGGAACAGAACCATGACAGCAGTCATGGCAGTTGCAATTCATGAAAGACAGTAACGTTACTCCTACTCCCAGTACTAGCAGTAGTAAGGTACCCCCAGAACTGTGGGGTCTGGCGTCCGCTCAGCTTCCACGTGGGACCGGAAGCGGAGCGGACGTCGGACCTCACAGTTTTGGGGGTAATGACCATGATGACGGTCCTCAATTTTAATCATGTCGAACTTAATTAAGGACTGCAGGCCTACTGAGTTACTTGCACGCAGCAAAATTAAGTTAAGTTTGTTACAGCAGTAACCCAGGCCTGCATTACATGCACATATGTACCTGTAATCTTTTCTTGAACGAGCTAGCAAGAACATCTTTCGAACTCCCCGCCATCTTTTTCGTTCAACGGCCTGCTGCATGCTAGCTGCAGCGCACTCCAGTTCCGCGCATGAACAAAAGAGGGCGTGCAGCATAGTTTCCAATGCACATGATCTCTATAATCATTATTTTTTATGGAGATCAGTGGTGCACTCCCTAAAGGTGTACTGTCCGAAGTTCAAGGAAATTCTCCGCCAGGCGGAGGCGCCGAAAAAGTACCTCTAATAAATTCCCTCGAAAATAGGAGTCTGTGTGGGCCAAGGAATTGTGGGATTGTGTCAGTATAGCCCAGGATAATCTCTGTAGATTCAAGGGCTTCTATCTGGGGGAAAGCAAACAAAAATGTTATTGAGAAATTGTCACGGAAGAGCCTCTGAAAGGTGAGGGATGTCATTTGAAAAATGGCTTCTGAGAAGAGACTTTGGAACGTTCACTTTTTGGGGGTGAGTTTTTTTTGAGCGGATGATTAAAAAATTCATTGGTTAACCAACTAAATTATGAAAATCTGTTACAAAAATTACTTTTACAAAAATTTTATGTAGGCAAATGTTTTGCTCATTGTTTTAATCAACAAGTGGGCAGAGGAGGACTGTCCTGAGTGTGCTGGTTTTTGCAAAAAAGGAAATAAAGTGAAACTAAATTAGACCGTGTCCGAAACGGGCTTCCAGAGCTACAGCTAATTCTATTGTCCTGCACGTCTCCACGCATGTTATGGTGCAAACATACTTAGACGACATGGGTGCGAGGACCTAGACCTAGCTCTAGACAAGAGATTCGGAGGCAGCCTCTGTCTTGTCTGCTTTGGCCAGGTGGGCCACATTAGCCCAACTAGATTGTCTCAAATCTTCTTTGTACCCAAGAACAATTTCTGAATGGAATTTTCTGCCTATGGATGTGAAGATCGCACTTGAGGCTCAGTTGATATCCCAGGGGCGGATCCGGGGTGGGAGCGCCAAAATATAAACAAATAATTTTTTTTCAAGAAGAAAAAGAGGGAGAAGGAAAAAGAAGGACCCTACTTCCTGATATTGCACTAAAGAGCACCTAAAATCCAATCCAGTCCTAAAGTCCCTTAAGCGGGCCGCGGACCCCACGCCTCACTAGGGGCTTCGTGCTACGCGCTTCGTGTTGCTTTAGTTCACGCACCCCCTCCCCCCTTGGAAAGGCTGGATCACGCCCCTGTACCCTCAGTTAAGTTATTAAAGCCCACTTGAAAATTTAATTTTTGCTGCTACCACATGACCCCTACCCAAACTGTATCTGGATATCCCAGTAGGGCGTTGTACACAGAATAAAGTAGAAGCAGAAACGTTTGTTCGCTCGACGGGCGCTGGGCGACGAGCGAAAAGCGTTTGTCGTCATAGCACCCTCTCAAAGTGGTCGGTTGTCGCGTAAAATCCGCTTCGAACAAGAACAAAAGAGGGTGTTTTGAAATTAAATACGGGCGTTTCACAATAGTGCGCCTCCAAGAGTTTGCAACACATTAACCAATTACAGTGCGCGAAATCTGTCGACCCAATGCGCGTTTGGAAAGGGTCAACAGATTTCGCGCCTTGTGATTGGTCAATGTGTTGCAAACTCTTGGAGGCGCACTATTGTGAATCGGTCGTATTGACAGTCTTTTGGCATGGTACGCATTCACTGAATAGGCGCACAAGCTTATGCGCGTTTGATGCAGAGCCACAGTGTACATGTATGGTCTTTGCGTGGAAGCCGAACGCGTGCAAGAACCCAGACAAGAATATAATATCAAATCAGTGCTCTGATTGCCGATTGGAAGTACCATCTGTTTTTCTTTCGCCGGTGAGGGCGCACAGCCCATGGCGGACAACGTTTTGAAATCAAGACTACGATTGATGCACTGTGAGACGTCTGCGCACTAGACTACGTACGGAACGGGTATCGGCAGTCGACCCTCGACTCAAGATGGCGTTCAGCTACAGAGAGATGGTCCGTCGTGCGTTTCAAATTTTACGTGAAAATGGAGGCGTAATTAGCAGTTTCTGGAGACTTACACGGTATTTTCAGATGAATACTATTACATCAATACATGTTGTTCAAAATTTTAAGTATATTTCGTTGTTTTCAAAAAGAAATCCAGAGCTAAGTACACCCACAGTTAGGGCCTACTTACTTGTACTTCGAGAACTTCGAGTTTAATTTTTTTTAGGGCTGCAAACCATTTCACCACAAAAATTGAATTCCAAAACCCCATAGCGTTACGACGCCATGTAAACCTTCTTGCCTCGAAGGCACACAGAGTATCACAGAAATAGTGACTTTGAGTTCTCGAAGAACACCACACAGTTCTAGGGGTACACGGCGTGTTTATTTCACATGGACACTGATATAGATGCAGATCACACACAATCAATGATCCGAAGTTGGTTCACTACACCAGATCCTGAAGTCACCTCGTAGTGGACTGCGCGAACCAGCTTCAGGATCACTGATCATGATGTGGATCTGTGTGAAACAAACAGGCCCATGGTGTACACATTGCAGGTATGATCAGCCAATCTGCACGATTACTCTGCACAGTTGGTCAATTCTGCATAAAATTTTAAATGATCTAAACACAACTGTGAATAAGAAATGAAAGTCAATTAGCTGAGGGAGAAATTATAATGTATGTGATTGTACAGTCACCACGTACATGTATTGTTAAAGTTTGATTGGTTTTTAACAGTGAAGAGGGAAGTAATGGACCTGGTGACTATACCGTCACTGAAGTTTGACAAATAGCTTAGTGCTGTAAGATTGAGTGACTGTGCAAAGATTCAGCAATCATGCCCAACACAAGTGTACCAGGTGCTTCCTTCTTCTAGCTACCAGATATATATTCTTTTTTGGTACATTTATGCAGTTACATAAAGGAGGGTCTTTTGCCCAGGTTTCACTGTCTTGATTTTTGGGAGTCATTCAAGGTGCCTCTGCCTGAGAGACTCAGATTCTCTAATCAGGTCTTATACTGTTTCCACCCCCTCACCCACTCCTATTATGTAGCATTGTTATTCTTTTCGTATTTTTTCCCCTCAGAGGAGATGATCCACTGAAGATGGGTGCCCTTGTTGGCACTGACAAATATGGGAACAAGTACTTTGAGAATAACAGGTATTTCCAAGGTACGTGTACGTGTTATTAACTGCTCTTCCCTGTATGTGCATTTTGAGCTGGAAGTTAATACAGGAAATTTGGACAGTGAAGCAACTCAACTTTGGGACTATCCTCTGCAAAAATAATGAAATGCTTTGTTGTTGTAGGACAGCCAAACATTGTTTCTAATTACAACTTTGCATTTTTGCTAAGGAGAGATTACATGTTTTTAAATTGTGCACAATTAGTTGAAAGTTGGCTGAGCACACTCTACACAGTTACACTCCTAAACCTGAACCAAATTGCACGTGTGATGCGTATTTTATTGGCTGTTGTGAGTAAACTTGAAAGTGTCATTTACATGTACACTGAACTGTTTCCAGAGAGATCTGTTGTCTATCAAGAAGGACCTTACAATCTTCTGTAAATCCTTAGTGTTATGATTTGACAGAACAGATACCAGACAAGATGTACATAGTCAATTATGGCTGTACTAGTACATGTAATATGATGTTACAATAACCATGCTTTGGAAGACTAGAGATAGCTTAAATGGACAGGAATATAGTGGACACTTCTTGGACCATGAGAACACTCCTTGTTCTATACTGCCATGACATTTTTACTAACAGAATCAAGTCTTTTGTTTATTGTAGGCCGGAATCGCTGGGTTGAGTACAGAAAAGACAAATATTGGGACCTGGATGCAAGCATGATACCAGCTGAATGGTCAGCTATGTTTTTCAATGACATTTTATCAAATTAATTTCAAATTAAAGACAATATTTTATAAAATAATGAAAAACTCAACTTCTTTGACTTTAGCTTAGTTTTTTAAAAATACACATATGAAGTCTTATATCTGGTTACCCTCTCAGGAACCTAATGGCCCTCCGAGTAAAAGGAATTTTTCATCTACAGTTCACCTACATGTGCATGTATACAATGCAGTTGGCACATATTTCACTTTTCTTCCAATGTTATCCTGAAACCAAATAAGTTGAGAAGTCTTATTTTACCTCTAATAGGCATCGCTGGCTACAACAGATGACTGATGATCCACCTACCAAGGTTCCCCCAACACCACGTAAATTTCTAGCAGATCACACATACAATCAATCAGGAACAAGTGGTTGCTACGTACCAAGCACTACCACACCAAAGAAAATCCATGAATGGGTACCCCCAGTGAACACCGAGTGACGTTGCAGTGGTAATGAAACGATATCAGTAAACTTTTTAGACGAAATCTAGTTAAAGTTGCTTTAATTGTAATAACCTTATTACAGTGTTAGCTACATAAGTGGTCTTTGCTCTGAAAACTGCAAGCACTATTTATTTCACACTCCAAAATGTGACCAGTGTTTCATGTTTCACAAAACTGCTTGACAGTAATTTGTGAAAAATGTTTGCTTCCTTGTAGAAACCTTCAGCATGTGTTTTTAATAAATATTTACTTCCAGGAACCGGGACACTATGTTGAGGGGCAATTTGAATTGTTTCTAGCATTTGAATGTAGCTGTCCTCAGTAGAATTTGGTGTTTAATTGATTAAAAAGCAAAGAAGATGCATGCAAGATCTCTAGCTGTGTTTGGAAAGTTCAAGGAAAACTCACTTCCCATTTCCACTCAAGTACATGTAATTTTTATTTGGCTTGTTTGTAACTCTTAATCCACTCACGAATGTACATAAGAGAGATTGACGTATAATAAAATGTAAATACATTGGATTTGAGGTGCCTCTGTTGTGATATTTTAAGTCTCTATATTTATATACTCTGAAAGCATTCTGGTTCAGTTGGGTAATTTGAATTACTCAGTGTAGCTCAAATTTATGACTGCATTGTTTCAAAAAGTTCTTTGGAGATTGAAGTAAAGTTTAATAAAAGGGAATCAAAAGAGTTCAATGACAAACAAAATGAATTAAGCATGGTGCACGATACAAAGTATTAGAAAATTAATTTATTTGATGAAAAGGCAGAAGACACCACTTCCAATTTTTTGCTCAAAGGCAATATATACTGGTAACACTGTAGTAGAATGTAACTCCTGCAACAAACTGATTTCAGGGTTTTGTTTTTGTCTACTTTTCCCTCCAAATTTGTTAGATACAGAGTATTCACACCAATATAATGGCTGCCTAAGATTTCCAACAAAAATGAGATGCTAACATGTACATCCCCAACCCTGATGGTATCAACAATAACACAGAACAGCCAGGTTTTCCCAGATCCTTTTGAAATGAGACAAGTTCAGACAACCCGTATCATGTCCAATAGTTTCACCCAATGCCAAACAGTTTTCTTTGGGTGTTGACCCTATTTTAAGTGATAACTTGGCCTGCACACCATCTATCCTTCCAGATCTTGGTGTAACATTTCAAAACCAAACTAAATTTTGAGAATATCATATCTCGGCTTTGTAATATGACAATGTTTCTAGATTAGAGCCAGTTAGATATTCAGAATGAATATTAAAACTGAAAGTTTATTTGATCCAGTACCATTCAAATATCTACAGATTCTATGTCATGTGTTTAAGTTATGTTTGTCACATTTTAACATATGCAAATATAACGTTAATGCATTGGCGTAAAACTAATAAAGATTACATTGGTGTCAAATGCATGTGGTGAGATATATGTAAAATGTATTCTCTTTTACAAAATGGTGTTAGTTTGGTACCAGATAAACCACATATAGAATAAATCTGTCTGAGGAACACAGTTCAGCCAACTGGTTGTAAGTTGTCGCAGTGGTGACCACTTCCACAGCCCATCAAGGCATCATATTACGACCCCAGCCCCCCCCTCAAAAGATCATAAATACAACAAATATGATCTTAGAAAATCTTTTAAATTTGTTACATCATACTGTAACCCCCCCCCAAAAAACACAGACCTTTCACAGAGATTCTCAAAAAGGTGGTCCTTTTTCAGCCAAGGTAGAGTAACGTTTTCATTAGGTGCTTATATATATCCTACAGTGATATACTATGGTTTTGAACATTTTTAATTTCAGAACAGGGTTAGCTTTAACATCAAGCCTATTTGCTATGAAAGTATTCCAGTTAATACCGTACATTAAATGCATATATATCCTTTTTACACACATTACACAAGTGTTATTTGTTAAATAATTACACTGTGCGGCATGAAAGGAATAGTCTCAATATCCCCCCCCAAAAAAACACTGAATCCACTTCTGACTGGAAAGAACAGTACACATTAGTCACACAATGATCCACTTTTCTGTGATAATGCAACAAAAAAGGAAAATCTCTGTTAACACAAAAAGTGCTGCTCTGAACAGGGTGCATGAATCCCAAGAAACATTGCTACGGTACATGTACTTACTGATCAGAAAAAACCATCTGAGACTAGTCATAAATCTGTCAGTACTTGGGCTTTCTGTTAAGTGTTCTCAAAATCAAATTAGTTTAGTCCATCCTAAATTTCACTTGTGAAAAGTATGATCAAAATATCATACATTGTACCTTGCGGATATGTTGTAAAGTGCGGTCTCTATAAACAGTGCCTGAACAGTCATAGGGTATGAGAATTGACCTTCATATACTTCAACACCTTACAACAATCAAACAATCACATAACAGGCTAATTCCGTGTGCTCACCACATGCCCTGAAATGAAAGGAACTTGGAACAAGCTGTGATATATTTTTGGATTAAAACTAGACAACAGGGATGAAAATAAGATGTGACTGAGATTCTTGTGTAACAGTAAGTAGGCCCCTCCCCCCAAGGTGACTTTTATGAGTAGCTACAAGGATAATCCTTAAGACCCTAAAACGCATACAGCTGATTGTTTACAAGGTTACTTGTGTCTGGTCTCTTGATGATCATGACTACAACACTGCTCTTAAGTCTAGATTTCACTTCAAAGAAGACAAACAGATTGGAAGGTACACAAGGCTCATCAAGTAAAAACAAGTTCCAGAAAAAAAAAAGTAGATTAAGGAAGAAGGCCACTGGCATCAAGTGCCAATGCTGTGTAATCACACACAAAGAAAGTACCCTCTCTACAAAGGAAATGTGTCCCCTTGAATGTCTGATTTAATTGATTTAATAATTTTGCTCCAACAACACACTTTCAGACAGACTTGTAGACGGGTTATATACTTTGAAAAACTGTCTTAAAGAAGAGTTCCGCTGGTTATCATATGACAGAGTAAACATTCAATTTCACTTCCAAGAATTACTAAACCCAATTTTTATAAAGCTGCTTTCAGCTGATACAGAGAGAAAATTACACATGCATGACATTGTAGTTGCTCATTAGTAAGGTTAATGGAAAGGTGAATGTGAACCTTTTAAAGGTGAATAAATACAACGTTGCAAAATGAAACAATTAGTTTAGCTGTGACCTCAAACTTATTTTCAGAAGAGCATTAAATCCCTTAGAGGAATTATCTCCATCAAACTGTTACAACCATAAACATGTCCTAATTTTAGTTCCCTGAATGTGTACACATATTTACAGCGTGATCAAGGTTTAAACATGATTTCACAAGCACACAAGTTTTAAAGTAGCCAAACTCTGTCACACGAATAAGATTTTAATCCTTTTTCACACAACGGCAAACAGAAAACATAAGATACATTTCTACATGATTTCTTCCATTGTGAAACTGTTTCACCTTGCATGTCACAATTTGTACAGTGTACCAGGACAGAAATGCTCAGCACTGGACAATACGAAATAGCCCATCAAAATTTCTGCCAATGATTTTTGTACATGCTATTATGTACAAATTGTTTCACTCATCAACAGAATGGTTCACAAAATATTGCCAGGGAAGCTCCACTTGTTCAGCTCTGTGTGTACAACCTTTTTTTTGTTGAGTAAGGGTGGCTGTCAAATTTTTGTCATGGATTCATTGGTTTCAATTGAAGAATGGACAGCAGCAGTACAAACAATTCTACAGCAGCAGGATCTTTATTGTGTTCACCTGTTGTCATTACGTAATATCACTATACTACAGTCAATGTGCCCTGTGACATGTTGCCTGCAGGTAAGTATGAATAACACTGGTAAAACAGCCAGCCTTGACTCATCTGGCTGATCGTCATGCTATACCTAATTGTAACTTTTTTATCATAGTGGATTTAGCAATATTTCAAATAAAAATATAAATTTGGTATGCTCTTGTATATGGAAAACCATGGCCATTTAACATCAAACTAAATAACAACTCAGAGAACAGTACTAAGCACATTAGTATTTTATGCATGTAAGACAATACCTATCCTGAATATTAGCACACAAGTTGGAAGTTACACTTCTCTGGGTCGTCCCTTGTCCTCCGTCTTTGCTTGTTTACTGCCAGCTAGATCTCTCAGTTTGGTCATCTTGAGACGAGCATCCAGAGCTCTCTCGTGGATTTCTTGTAGCTTGATCTGGACTTCGCCTAGAAGAGGTCTATCTCCTGGTTCACCAGCCCAGCAGGCCTGCATTAGCTCCCAACAATGCTTGTCGAAGACATTCAACTTCTCAGGCCGTACTCCTGGAGAAAAGAACATACAGAAATATGTAGTTCTGAGCAAATCAAGTCAGAGACTGGCAAAGTTTTGAAGGGTGGGACTAGATGGGAATACGGGCAAAGCAATGGATATGTCCATATTAGAAAGACGGCAAGTGGCTGCAGAAACGATGGATACAAATCTGGTACAGACTTTCCTAACAACAAACACAATGCGTGATATCAAACCTCAAGTAGTCTACAACTCCCCATGCCAAAGGAAATGCCTCAAAAGTAGTGAATGGTTTCTTGAATTGACATATAGGCAAGTGAGCCTTTGCATTTGTCAATTATAAAAAAATGAAAATAGAACCAACAAATGAGAAGTGAGAATGCCATCACTAACAGGAGATCACAAAACTCTTTAGACTCTGTAAATTTCACAAGATTCCAAAATACACATATTGCAACCTGAAAAGAAATAGCAGGAACATCAAATCTGACATCAGATGAATTGACCCATATTGCTTCCACACAGGCTGTCTTTCTGGAATCTGTTTCTAGGAGTTAATCAGTGTATGACATTCTGGAATTCTGCTTTAGCTAAGCAAACAGTTCCTGTGATAAGTAATGTCTGTACCCTCAGCTCCATGGACTATGCCCTTCAACAAAAACAAATTCTCATTAAGCCAGAAAATGAGGGAAGTCAAACCACACACGTACCTTTCTTGACTGAGCTCCACAAGTGGTCCTTGTTGGCACACTGTTCAAATGCTGTAGGGAGTCGGACATGGCCAGCGCAGACATACCAGAAAAGAATACCAAAGGCATAGGTATCCACACTGCTGTCGTATTTGCCTGAGAAAAGCTCTGGTGCCATGTGGATTGGGGTACCAACAATACTGCCACTCATCATGGCCTCTGGTTTGCAGAATCCAAGATCTGTGATCTTACCACGGTCACGCTTGTCCAACTGTTCATGGAAGTTGAAAGAACCCTTTTTTAAATTGTGATTACAAAAATTATTCATTTAAAATGAAAACAAACTATGAGTATACTGTGTCCAAGTCCAAGAAACTTGTGTGAGACTCAGATACCTGTCTTGTGAATCTTATCAGGCTGGTCTACGCCACAGCCTTGAGAAATAAACCTCTGTCAAGACCGGTACCCTGAACATCACAAAATTCAGGTATAGATCTAACTCAAATCTCATAAAGCCAACACTTCCTCCACCTTTCCTGCCTCACTGTCAAATCTAAGTTGATTGGCACAGAACTCATCAAACAGTCTTAAGTTTGCTGTGGAGACTGTGCAGGTATAGCATGCCTTCCTTTCCACACTGGGTACCCTACTTCCTGCTAACCTCCTTCCAATATCAAATATTACAAAGCCATACTAACTTGGACGGAACTTACCAGCACATTCTTGAGTTTGATGTCTCTGTGCACTAGCCCCAGGCTATGTAGATATCGCATACCTTCCACTACATCCAAAGCCACCTGTAACCGTCCAGGAAAGTCTAGGCCAGCCTTGATGGCAACATGGAGGTCGCGTTGTAACCTATCCATGATCAGAAGAACAGCTGGAGAGCAGCCATCTCCTCCATAGCTGTGATCGATGACTGAGCCACGTAATGTCACTACACGCTCATGCTCAGTGATTGACCTAGTATTACAGGAAACAATTCTATCATTTAGTTTTTTAAGCTCTTTGCAGCTGTCAGCAATCAAAGGACAGATTTTAAGTACAAAAAAATAAACAGTTGTCAAAGGTAGGACATACATGTATCATCTCCACAAACGATTTCATGGATCTTTGGAAGGGAAAATACACCTTGGTGTGAAACACAATCTTAAGGCCTCTATCATATCTTACCATTTTACCACCAAAGTCACAGTTTATAAATACAAGTACAGTCTATTGTATGATACTGCCAATGACATCTACAAGTACATACCTTGTGTAGTGAAACTCGAGTGCCAAATCGTTCCAATGTTTATCATCAGGTGGGACGACTGACTTGACAGCAAGAGATGTTAGACCAGCCCAGTTCCTACATGAATACACTACCCCATACTGACCACGCCCGATCTCCCTCTCTAATTTGGGCATGCCTGTGAAGGGCAAACATCCAAGAACCTTCTGGATAATGTCATCTTAAAAGGATGATACAGTGAATGTGAGCCTTTAACTTGTAAGCAGCTTATGTGAAGCATAAAACAGAAATCATGCAAGATACCTGTGCAAAATTCCAATTGAAATTCGTACTGTTTGTTTAAAATAAGTTGTGGCATCTCACGGATGGAAACAATTACCTTTCAATATTATGTTTTTCCCTTCACCAACACATTGTTATACACACTGTGAGCTCAAAGCTTTGGAGGATTTTATGAGCAAAAATGAGAGTATCAGAGTCATCTTGCAAACTTAGGGGAACCAATGAGCATACATGTCCATTGCTTGTGAACCCTTTTCACTAATAGACAAACCCAATATTAAAATTTACACAGGTCTCTAGAAGCAAAAGTTGATTAGTTCAGTCAAACTACATGTATAGCATGGTTTATATTGACGTCTTTGGTAGGGAGATTCTGAAGTCACAAAATCCACCACTGGGTACCAACCCAAACAACACTTCCTTTTATTTTAGTGAACAAAATGGAGACATTACACACTATGTAAATGTATTAAGGTTAAGCTACACACTTTGAAATCTTTGACATTTGGTGTTATTCTTTGGTACATCGGCAGGATACGGATTACTCTCTTTATAAACTGAAGCAAAGTGAAACAAAAGAAGACCTTGAGGATTGAACTATCATCAACAGAATAAACAGAGAAAAATTCTTGAGATTATTCATATGAAATAAAGACTAAAATGGCATTAATGACGAACCATAGAGAACCATGTCCCTTAGTGAGGTGCTGTCCAGGGCTAGTCTAGCAAGTCGTGGGGCATGAACTTTCCTGACTTTCATCCGTTGTTCCTCGGTCTTCTCAAGTCTACCTGAGTGCTTGTTCTCAAGTTGACGTAGTGACGAAGAAAACATGTCATGGGAGTTGTTGAGTCGGGACCGAAACTATGAGAGACATTAGTGGGTAAAGTACAAGTTAACTCTGATCTGTTGACTTTCTCTGATCAAAATGTTATAAAATCGACCCAAATCTTTCAAGAGTTGTCCCGCCTATAATGCATCCAACACAATTTACATGTAGCAAATGGGTATTTGGGATATCATTCACTGTTTGAAATTTCACACTTTAAAAAACAAAGGCTTGCACCACTACCAATCCGATATCACATACCGGTACTTTGAGTGTAATGACTAGACTAGACTCAAAATACAAATGGCATTTTGCAGTTTCTCATAAAAAAGGTTTTTTGCACATTTTGCCCAATTTAATCTTAGGCATTCAGATTTTGTGCATGAGTAAGCTATAAAAGAAACCACTGTCTATGATTAATTCAAACTTAATAGTAATAATAACTCTTCTGCATAGGTTGCCAGTGGCCGTGCTTCCATCACTGACCTACATGTACATGAATACATATTGTTGTGACCATCCATAGCCATAGCCATTTCCTACAAGCTTTTATTCAAAGCCTCACCTGTGAGCAGATACTCTTAGCCAGCTTAGACTCATCCAGGTTGTTCAGTAAGTTGATGGCAACTTTCCGTTTCCAGTCCTTGTCTACAATTGGAGGGGCCTTGAATGGTTTCATAGACTGCAGAATCTAAGATGAATGAAGAGAGAGAAAATGAAACCAATGAAAACATTATATCACAGGGGATTTTTATTTCAGTGATGACATTAATTACTTCTGATGTCTTGGCCACTAAATATACCACAGGCAACCAGGAACTGTCTAATGGTTGGCATGAAAGTTACGAAATAGCAGCAAAACTGTGCTGCAAAACTGAGCCAACATCAGCACTTACACAAGTACAGTTTATGCTAAAGTTTTAACACTTACCTTGTGCATGTACTGAGAATTTTTATTAACTTATAGCAAATGGACATTGTCATCAGTAACAGTGACGACAGAGGATTGTTGGAATACACTTTACTTTCTTTACGTACCTCTTTCATTCTCTCCCAGATGACTTTGACAAAAGAATAACTGGTCCTTACGGTAACTTCCACCTGGTATGCCGAGTTCAAAATCTGCAAAGGTGAGGAAAATGCACCTTTCATGAACATCTTGCAGTCAATACCATAAGGTCATTTAATAGCCATAGCCCAAGACGTATTACTTGAGGTAATCTTCTTTTACAGTACACTTACCATTTAAAAATATTGTCAAACTGCTGTACAGTTAACACTGTAGGCACTGTTAGATTTGATACATCTCAAGCCAATCTTTGACAACAATCCTTTTGAGACTAAGAGCCAACAGTGTCCAATGGAACCAGTTTTCAATAAGGCAAGGGTCCTTCTATTCTGACTTTCATGTCTATACCTGTTTGAGGGCCATACTAGCTGATGTTTCCCCCTGTTGTCCATCTTCTCCTTTCTCCAAGCTCTCTAAGCATCTTGTCAATGTCCCTACAAAGCTATCATGCAGGTAGTCTACTGAGCTGATTAGCTTGTCCACCACAGCTTTATTGACCCGGTTCAACACCAGTTCCTGGATCTGGGTCGTGCAACCTTTGATCTCCTTGCCTTGACTCAGCTCACCATCAAGTGAGATTTCTAAATCTAAGGGATTAATAATAAGTGGGATTGATACATGTACATGTACCCTCATTAAGAATCAACTTGTGGAAGATGCAACTTCTTATACCACTGCCATAGCCTTGTTTCAAGCTCAGTATCAAAATGACATGCAAAGCAAAACTCAGCCCAGATTCAATATTAAACTGCCACTTAATTTTCCCCTGCCAAATTTGAAAGGACATGTACATGTACTGGCCAACTGGGGACAAAAGCCATTGGCAAATTTAATAGAAACCTGGGGAAAAAATTTGATTCCTGAGCACTGGTGTAAATAATTGCAAACAATTCAACTGGACTGAACTGACCTCATTATTGCCAAAGCGTACATGTAAAGCACAAATACCGGTATGTCTATAAAATACAATATTAGCAGGTGTCAATGCACAGCTCACATTAGCAGGTGTCAATGCACAGCTCACATTTGATGGGGACGTAAGAGCTTATCTCCTTAACCACTTCAGGATTCAAAACCTTTTCATTCACACCCACAGAGCTTGGCAGAATGACAAACTTATTGAGGTACCAGTAATTATTCAACATTCAATATCAAAACAGATTCAAGGGTATGAGGCACAATACTTCAAAACACAGCATTACATTACGTGCTGTAAAGAGCTCATGTATGTACCAGTATGTGCAATGTACTGGTACATACGACTATGTGCATGTACATGGTACATGTACGTACACATACAAGGCCTACTCTACAGACTCAGTACTGGTATGCTTTGTACATACATGTATACAGCAAAAATTTAGAAACAGACAAGTAAATTTCTTTCACCATGTTCAATAAACCAAGCCACATCGACATCTGTACATGTACAGTACATGTACATTACATGGTATGTACATGTATAAGTACCAATTTGTAAACACAGGGAGCTCAGATGGTTCACATTGGGCAGGTTGGATCAAGGACCATATACAGGCAGTTAACCATAGTTTGAACGCACACAGGTCGATGATGGTTGAACTAGTCTAGTCAAATATTCATGACCAGCCACAAAAACAGTATGCCACTAATAAACGACCATTTTCACTTTTATTTTTTGCTCTTTTGCCCTTCCTGCAGCCACACTTTCTCCCTTCAGCCTGATGACCTGACAACACTTGATTACTGTAGGGTCATTTGCACTTCAACTTCACTGCACATGTGCTAGGTACAGTACATGTACATGACCAACTAACCACTAGTTAACTAGTCCTTGATGGAACTTGCCCATTGTAACTTGTACCTGTAGGAATGTTTACATTGGCAAATAGGTGGCTGGATGATAATAAGCTGGGATAACTAATCATAATAGTGCCTTGGCCACCAGTAATGGACAAGAGCACTTAAATACAGGTACCTGTGTGTAACTTTTTTTTTATTATTATTAAATAACTCTTGTGACATCACTCTATTAAAAAAAAGTCAATTATTCTGAATAATATACAGTTTAAAACTGAAAGATCAAAATTGACATGATGGACACTGAAATTGTAGTTGTGACATTGTGTGTGACATTGAATTATTACGGCATCAAGCATAACGAGAAACACTCTTGACAGTTGAGTACACCAAGTTACATTTAGACATTCTAAGGGATGATGTTCTCCCTGAGCTTTTTATTTCCTGCACTAATGTTTTCTGTTTCATGTTCAGCTGTGATTACAGATTTTCATTTGATCTTCACTTCATTATTTATTTTTATACATGTACACGTACAATAGGCCTACCTACTCCTTTCATTTTAGTTCAATTTCATCTTTTTTGTCATTTTAATCTTTTATAGTCATACATGTATGTTAATGCAACATATACATTTTACTATTTGTCTTTATATTTTTCTTTTTAAAATTTGCATTAGTGAATTTACTTTTTTAGTTTCCAAATGAATTGATTTCCTACTGTGACCGAGGAATTTCGATAAGCAAGCATGTGCACTGTACATGTAATTCAAAAGTTGTAAATATGGTCTTCATTCGAAGAGAGAGAGAGAGAGAGAGAGAGAGAGAGATCTTTGGTTCCCAATTAATCGCTTACCAAAGTTTCTTGATGGTGCAAATACAGGACTTCACATTGATATATACATGTACTTAGTACTTAGTACTTGTACATCCTTATTCCTTAGGTAAGGAAGAGAGTGAGTGCCCCCCTTACCAACGGCAAGTTCCTGAGTGATTTACACGTATGGTACATGTACATGTAAGCTTTTCACAAAAAATAGACACGTTTCTACAAAGCTACCGGTATGTATGTGCATGTGCATGAAGTTACATGCGATGCTGTACTGTGGATTGAATTCATCTCATTGTTCAAAGCAGTAAAAGCTTTTTGGCCTCTTGTAGAGTGCACAATAGTAGAGGGAAGGACATGGCTCAAGAGGTTGAGATTCTTTGATTTGAATGGGCTTGGACACTCTGTGTCCTCACCTATTCGAATCAAAGAATCTACACTTTCTCATACACTGTACATGTACCAGTATTGTACATGTTGTTGCTCCTTAACTGAAAATACATGTACGTAATAAGAGTCGCATAATTATCAAGCACGAACAGTATGGACAGTGGACAGTGTGCCATACATGTACCGGTATGTACATGTACATGTACAGTATGTATACTTCCTCAGTTTGTGTGGTGCATGCTATTTTCTGTTAAAAAACAGTTTTACACAGTTTTTGAGAATTGTCCCTATATGTTCCGTGTCAAACATACATGTACATGTACCGGTGCATGTTCTATCATGAAAATTGGTCAGGATAGTGACATGAAATGCAAACAGTAAGTTACCACCGTACTGTATCATAACACCCATTTACATGTACATGTAAAATATCCACATGTATGTACAGTAGCTATCATAATGCAATATCATTTTGTACAGATCAAACTTAATTCTACTGGTACATATAGTCTGGTATCTCCTTTTCATGAGGCAATACCCAGGGGCATGTTCAATAGTGCAGTGTGTATGGTGGCATTGGAATACATGTACATGTACCTTGTTTACACTAATCCTTGATACTACACATACGCTACAAAAGAAAAACAATTCAAGGCATTTCTAAGGAAAAGTAAACCAGCTCAACAATGGGAATTTTTTTGTACATGTACACTGTACTGGTATCTTGTAAATGTTTGCAAGAAATATCAGTCTCTCAGATATACATGTACCATCAAATGAGAGGGAACAACAAGACCTATGAGCAATTTGTAAGTGAGCATCCATACATTTTTAATCTCGAGAGGATAAACACCTGTATGTGTACTTGTATGGGCCTTCACCTGTTCATGCAATAGAAGGTTGGAATCAACTGGGGGGGGAGGGTTGACAACTTTGATTGCCATTACAATGTGAATATGCACACAATGACTCAGTTATTTTAGTATGCATGTGATGGATGTTGCAAGCTTTAGTTTATTCACATCAGTCTACAACATTGCAAGATTCCTTGATGCACTTTAGGCATACATGTATAGTACATGTATGTACACGTAGCACCAATTACATGCATGCTGCAACACTGCGCCCACATAATTGTTCTGTAAGGAGTAACACAATATTGTGATTCAGCATGTTCAGTGTTGGTATTCATACTATGAAAAGTAAACAGGAAAATATCAGGAAATACAATGTAGGCAATCCTAGTGGCTGACTGTGCCTTAGACATCCTACGGTACATGTACATTGTGCATAAATGCCTACACAGTAAAACATGGTAAAGCCATACATGGTAACTTCAAGTACATGTACTGTACCAATATGCATACATGGACCAATGCACTGGCCTTTTTTTGGGGGGGGGTATGTTTTGTTTTTAATACAAATCACTAGACCAAATAGCCAAAACAATCTCATTTGGGGTAGAAGGGGCGAGGCGGCACTTTGTTGTTAAGTACATGTATTTGTTACATGTACCATATACATGCACATGTACCTTCAAATTGGTAGTTCTCCGCTTCCTGCAGCAAAGGTTCCTTGAGGTCTTGGATCGTCGCCTGGATGAGTTTACGTATCTCTTCTTGCCGCTGATTGGCCAGATCCTTCAAGGATTCAAACAGTTCCATTTCACGTTGCCTTGCATAGTCTATCCTCCGAGGTGTGATTTGGATGTCCCGTTGCATGTCAAATGCTGTGGTGATAAACATATTCATGCACTGTAAGTGCAAGTCATGCAGGACTGTAGTGGCTCGTGTCAGGTACAACTGTAGGACCTGCCGCACAAACATCAGTATACCCTGCATGTTATAGAGTTTCTCTAGTCGACTCTGATGGAGGTCGTCCTCGGTTGGGGTCATACCACCTTTGAAGACTGGCACCTCCGAGGGATCTGTCAAGAACCCCAGACTACGAAGTTGTCCATGTACAATGTCATGAAATCTGGATGGTCTCCTTGGAGATGGGGATGAGGCTCCTTGGTTATGGCTCTCCAAATCTTCTACTGATCGAGCTACAAGGTCCTCATTGTTGCTGTCATAAGCTGAGTCCTCTCCAAGATCGTCATCTACTTGGGAATGTCTAGCGGGACTCTCTGTATGAGGACAGCAGTCCAAGAACAGCAAAGGCAAATCAGAAGCTAGGTGTCTCAAATCCAGGAGTTCACGCTGCTCCTCTTGGGATAGGTAGTCCTTGTCTATTCCATAGAAAATAATTGGCAGCATGCGCGATGAGTACTGGCTGTATAGCCTGGTAATGTTCAGGTCTGGGCAGTTGTGGGGTGCAACAATGATTTCAACCTTGGTGGCAAGCAAGGGATGGTTCAAGGTCACTTCTGTGGTGGCTTGAGCCGTACAAGGATCACTCAAGTCCTCCTGTCTAATTTCAACATCGCGCTGCGGAAGCACAGTCCAATTGGTACCTGGGTTATAATCCCCATTCAGCAGCTCAAAGCTGTCTGTCAGTGTGGTCAGAGCACTACGGCGCTCAGCTCCAAAGCGAAAGCGCAAAGGTCGCCAGCTCTTGGAATTGTCTGAGCAATTAGTGATGCGTAGAATCTGCTCATTGAGTATCCTATTCAGGATGGTGGCTTTAGCAGTGTACGTCTGGCCACAAATCAGGAGGCATGGTGGATCACCGACAATTGATTTCATGAACAATTCATGTTCATCTTCCAACAGCAATTCTGAAATGCGCTCTGCACAGAGGAAGAAAAAATATGTGCTTTCAACATTTATTACAAAAGCTGAGAGTATGGCACTGAATCAAAGGAACGAGAAAATGTAATGTTATGAAAAACTTCCAATGTCAAGAACAGTTTTTGCATCTTTGATGTCTCTTCAGGGACACTGTAGCATTACAGGACAAAAAATATTCTGATGAGCAGATGAAACAGCTGGAGATTGAAGAAAGTTTGACGAACTTTTCTTGCATTATATATATATATGCGGAATGCAAACAGGTTGTATTTCATTCACCGGTACCTCTGTGGCAATGCATCAAAACAGAGGTACTATAAAGCCAGGACTGTTAGCCCAGGTGGTACCCTAGTCCATCAAGTTAAGCTAACATCTTTCACAGGCCTAGCTTCAACAGACTTCTTGACAGGAACAAATGAACCACTGGCTTGTGCATTGACTACTTGATAGAGAAAACAAGTGGTTCCAGAATTTTGGAGCCAGAATGAATCACCCCTCCCCCCCCAATCAACACTACCCCTATTGAGAGACAGCATCTGATCATACTGCAGTTTAAGAAACAGTGCAGGACAAGGAGCCAAATAGAAATGAGTACATGTACATGTAGGGTACCTGCCCTAAAGGTATCACAGTTACAAAAATTCATGTAATTTGACAATCAGGTTTTGATAGCTGTTGGTATTTTGCTCTGCAACACAAAATTGAGAAGTCTTCTTTATGGAAAATAAGCTCTGGGAAATAAAGAATATGCATGGGTGAAATTGCACATGGAACCAAACATCTTGGAACATACCTGTAGTTGGCTGATATAAAAACATTTATACAACAATGACATTCAGGGGAATGTCATCTCTGTTGCATTACAAGGGAGTACATGCATGTATACGTACCAGTACATGGGCAGGTATGTAACATCCCATACATGTACATGTACCTGTAGAGTCCACATAACAATTGGGTTAATGTTCAAAAACTTTACGCAGTACCGGTACATGTGCATCTCTAACTTTTTCTCCAGTTAACTGCATATAAAATTCAACAGAAACATACCGGTACATGATATACCAGAGAGGAATCACTCAATTAAAAGGCAAATTCAAATATCACCTTGGTACAGGTATCTGTACATATACATGTATGTACACACTAGCAAAAAGGCTACAAGTATATTACATGTACGTACGTGTCAAATAAAAGACAGTTTTTAACAGGTTATAAAGGTCATTTGATGACGGCGCATGGGTTAATTTTCTTTTATTTTTTGCTATTCCATTTTTGCGATACATATATATATAAACATTATGTATGTAATCTGCACTTCTTTCATTAAAAAGCAAGTTGACATTTAAAAAAAGTAGCAGTACACGTTTATGTCAAACCATACATGTACAGTATCTTGCTGTTATTTCATTAGAGTAATAATACATACATGTGTGTGATCAGAAGAGAATCATATAGCCCCTCCCCAAGTTCTGCTTGTTTCCCGACTGATCCTACTTACATGTAAATTGCATTACCCTTTGGGGAAATTTTAGAAAATGTAAGGTTGGGAATGAAGAGAAAATGTATTAGGTCTATGGCAATCCTTCCTTTAAGTTTGAATGTGGATTAAATACTGCACATCAACTGACTCGTTTCTGCATGCTACTAATACCCTAAAAAAAACAAACTTGCACCCATTCACTTTACCGAGGTCCTGGCCCTACACATTTACATACATGTAGATCTATCCAATTTTTCCCCACATGAAGATTTCTACAGAGGTACAGTACGGTAGTCTGCTGACCCTTGTCTGGGACTAAGAAGCAGTACATGTATAAGGCCATGTCTGGAACAGGCTTCCACAGCTACAACTCGGTCTATTATCTGCGTGTCTCCACGTACATGTATTTTCAATTGAACCTCCATGTAGCTCTTGACAACAGATTCAGATGCATGTGGATCATGTGAGCTCCTGCTCTTGCTCCTTTTGTTAAACATGTACAAGTTAGGCAGTGTGAACCAATACCACATTGATTGCTAGGGAACAAACTGTTGTTCATTTCATTTGTAACAAATGACTTCTCTTGTTAATTATAAACCATTTAACACTTCAGCTGCACATGCACTGACTATTAAAACCCCATGCACCCACATACAGTGTACACTCTATGTACATGTACATGTATGTATCCGTTTTCAGATGCCATGTAATACATGCACCAGATCTAGAACACAATTAAAAAGCTGCTCATGCTACATGTATATCATGTCCAAAAACATATGATTATTGTCATGTCCCTTTGTAGCCATCATAATTACCTAGTCCCAAACCCTACATGATCCACCAAGTTTGGAAAGATTTTACAGAGAGGTTCAATCCAGCCCTTGCCTCTAAATTCTTTGCATGGGGCTTAATTCCCTTGACAGCTCAAATACTGTGAGAACATGCCATTGTTTCTTTCACAAGATTTTGGAGGATTCAGTCATACAGAAGAAGATGTGTCTTGAGTCAAAGTTGAGAACTCTGCAAGTTGTCACATCCTGTGAGTTCAGACTCTATGCTGGAGTTTTGATGTACAGTGTACAGAAGTGCCACTCAAAATTAGCCGCAGTGTATTTTTTTGTCTGTATGGTTTGGTTTTCCTGTTGTGTTATTATTAGATTAGGCATCTACATTGCACAACATGGACAGTTTATGCTGCTGACTTTCCAAACTTATACATGTACAAAGAAGTACCGTACATGTACATACATGTACATGCACAGGAAACGCCATAACTTATGCAAGTTTTATTCAGGTTTGATCACTTCCTCCTCCGTGTACATGTACCATAATTATCTTAGGCTTTAGATCCTGCTGGTGTTCTCTATTAACAAAAAATAGGAACAAGAAACATAAATAACCATTACACATACCGGTGTACATAAATTGTACTGTGACATGTCAAATACTGTAAGCCACAGAAAGTGCAGGGAAAGGTGGAAAATCTTGCAAATGTATGTAAAGGTCAGTCTGTCTATTCACATGTATGTATTTGGGGCCACCCAGGGCCTTCTTAGATACTGGTACGTGTACATGAATCTGTGCAAAAATGCACAATCAAAATATTAAAAAAACAAGTGTTCATTTTTTGTGTAATGTCACTTACTCTCTCAGCACCATCTGTTTGCTAGAGGCAGCTCCAAAAGAATCTGACATGTAAGTGTATGACAGTCAAAGGCTGTGTTGGTGATTAACAATATCAAGGCTGTTGTTGATTGATTACTATTACCTTCGGTTTATGTCCATGTACATAAATGCATTACATGCTCCTTGATACTTGGGTCAAGAAGAGGAGGTACATGTACATGTGAGACATGGGTGAATACAGTTGATCAGTAACAGGGCTAGACAGTGAGAGAACTAGTCGGAAGTGGGCAGGGCTACCAACTTTGAGTGAGAGCTGAGGTTGAGAATTTTGTGAGTGCAAAGTCTAAACAGCATAGGGTTCGGGGCTTGCTGAAGGGCCCCAACATCTGTTGATTCTACCGGTACATGTACATTACCTGTAGACACTAAGGTGTGATCGGAGGCAATTTCTGAAAACTTCAATTATTTGTTTTCAGTAGAGTTATTATGATGAACTATGAAACAAAACATGGACTACATAAATATTTAACAGCACGACAATCCCATAATTGGCAGTGAGAGCATGAGAATAATCTGCAGTATGTGTGAGACTTCACAACCCTGAGTGGGGTATACATGTACATACAATGGGCTGGTCAGCAATGTGGCTAGTCACATACTCATATGGAGCTGGGTATTAACTCTAAAACCTCAAAGTCCAAAAATCAAGTGACTTTATAGTTGAAACCTAATGACTTTTCAAGCATTGTTCTGGCTCCCACTGGGGGTAAATGATAAAAATGCATATGTACGAAAACAGGTATAGAGTTCAGGCGAATAAGGGTGTTTATTCCATTTCAATAATGATTGCAAAAGGCCCCCTCCCAAGTCCTGAAAGTGGGGAGAAAAATGCACCTCAGAAGTACAACTTGCACCCCATTACAAAAAAGAATTATTGAGCAGGCCATGATCAGGGTAACTCATAAACCACGTGGAATTTAGGATTACGAAGTCAAAGGTTACAGGACTGTGTATATGAAGAACTTACAATGTACATATTTTAAGCATTCAGAGTCTACATTTACCGATACACAAATGCAGACTGAAACCGAATGGTAAAATTTCGAAAAATCATGTTCTATCCATGCATATTCCAGATACACAAATATCATGCAAATCATGAGCTATGGCGGAAGACCAACCACTACATGTAGTAAACTGCTTTTTAACAATGTGCACACGATCATTAAATCATGATTCGTGAATTTAAATCACCAATTTAAATCAAATGAAAAATGACTGATGGAAACAAACATACATGTATCATTTTTTCAAAAAGGGAAAAACTGTTGCAAAGATGTAAATTTTGTAACAAAGGAAATAAAAGAAAACATATATATTTGCTTGCTTTGAAAATAAGCTGACTCCTTTGATATTTGGAGAAAACAAATTTAAAACTTAAATTTTGCCCTATATCAAAAATAAAAAAAAATCACCAACCCTGCATGCAATATAACCAAACTCAAACAGCCCTAGTCAAAATATACGCACAGTATTTTGAAAATCTCATGACATGACTGAAACTCTCCAGGTGTAAACAGAAAATAAATTTTCTTCCTTCAAAAGACCTAAAAATTGAAAAATGAGTCACTGCCTCTTGCAAGATACATGTACTTAACAGCCCTTATCATGCAACCTGCCCTAAACAGACACTCAAGTAAAAAAGAAATAAAAAGAACATGTACGTGTACACAGATAAGGATCATATTATTTGAACAATGTGCTATTTCCTAGAACTACCTGTATAACAGGTACATGTACATCTATGTGATAACCCTATTCTTAGCAACAGCAACACCATGTATATGTGCAAGCTGGTACAAAACAAATAAAGGGTTTTAGGTATAACCTCTCATTTTCCTATCCTAAAGACCCAGAATAAAAGAAAAACATGTGCACTGTACTAAGGTAAATCCTTTTACATAGCTTAATCTCATTAACAATATCACATCATACACTTCTCCTACACACTACCATTAAATTAAAACATTAAAGGCCACTACTACAAGGTCTCGTCTGACCACAAATGAATCATTGTCCCTTCCAGATGCCTATTCTCTGATTTTACTTTTGTTTGTTCATTATTTATTAATCTACAGGCACTAGGTCAGGCATTGAACTTTGAGTTTGACGCATGTACCGTAGGCCTACTGAGGCAAATTGAGCATGTGGTATTAGATGATACAGCTGATAACCATAAATAAGTTACAGGTGCCTTGCAATTGGTGGCTTTACATGGGCTTTTGTCTAGAAAGCCCAATACTAATGCATCAAAAATCAGACCAGAAAACTCATATAGTTCATCAGTGTGACTGTTTATATGATCACAAGAGAGTTCGATTGTCTCATCAATAGGATGCATAGCCCTGATCCATACTTGTAAGCAACATGTACATGTAGCCCGTACATGTAGCTCTCATATGTACAATTATGTGTGTAAATGGCATTATAGCGAGAACCAGTGCGTGAACCAACACGCGCATATACTTTCTGGTTCACAATGACGTCACACTTTGGTACTCTACAAAATGCATCACATCAACAAACCCTTAATGACATCTATCTCTGCAGAAACTTCAAAGCAAAGGCAATAACATTAAGTACTTCACAGTACCAGTATTATTCCCTTGTTTCAAAGAAGTCATTTCATTTTTCGTAACAGGAGTAGTTGTAAGTATGTACAGTACATGTACGAACAATGAAGGATCTGTAGTGAATACTGCTGTTTCACAATAGTGCGCCACCAAGGGTTTGCAACGAGTTGGCCAATCACAATGCGCGAAATTTGTCGACCCAATGCACCTTTGGAAAGGGTCGACAAATTTCGAGCGTTGTAATTGGCCAACGTGTTGCAAACTCTTGGTGGTGCACTATTGTGAATCGCCCATATTGTAAAATTCAGCCAAAGATATTGTTTTAAATTCCACTGATCTGGTGTTACAAAGTGACATATTGAATGAGACAACTGAACATAACTGAAGTACAGTTTGTTTTTAGTTTGTAGCATGGTCTCACTTTCATACGTTTTAAAAACTAAGCCGCTTTCATGGGCCCTCTGTGATTTGAAGCCATAACAAAAACTTAAGACAAAGCTATGACCATTACAAAATTTAAAGTCCCTCATTCCGTGCTATCAATGTATGGATGACATGTCTGCAGATAACAGGGCAAACTGCTTGATGTGCAATTACATGCACATACACATGTAAGTGACTGATAGGGTCTTAAGTTAGAAGGCCTGATCACAAGCATTTTATTTTTGATGATTTAGTTGGCATTTCAACATTTTACACTTCATATTACCTATGGTAAAAATTACAAAATAAACCCAGCCAGCCTCCAAGAAGGAAATGGGGCAGTAAACAAATTTTTGGGGCTCTGTTTTTATTGTACATGAATTTCTCCAATACTTTCCAAATTCATCATCCTTTAAATTTAATTAATTAATTGTTACATTTTAAAAACAATAACATTATGCAAAAATAAGTTATGACACACTGAAGGACCTTAATTGAGCAGAACAGACAGTCAGATCAAGCACCACAAAGGCTTGGTCTGTATGTTTAAAAATGGGACCAAAAAACTGGGAAAGAGAGACAGGCTTATACTGGACTACATACATGTACTTGTAGTTAAAGATGTTACATCCTAACTTTGTCCACTGCCCTAACTTTGTCAGGTGCCAATTCAGGGCATGCCAAACTCTGTGGACAAAGTCAACAGGATATGGCAAACTTTATTTGGGTGATACTTTATGAGCAGCGCATGGGCAAGCAAGAAGTATCATAAAAATGTATCAAAAAAGAATAGAGGCAAGGATCTACAGTCAGTGAAAAATGGCATTTGTTAATATTCCAGTAAGAAAACTAAACACTTAAAAGTTTTTGGACTCACCTAAATAGATGGCAATGACACCACTGGTTATAAGTTTTTGGACTCACCTAAATAGATGGCAATGACACCACTGGTTACAAGTTTTTGGACTTACCTAAATAGATGACAATGACACCATTGATTATTAGTTTTTGGACTCACCTAAATAGATGGCAATGACACCATTGATCATTAGTTTTTGGACTCACCTAAATAGATGGCAATGACACCACTGATTATAAGTTTTTGGACTCACCTAAATAGATGACAATGACACCATTGATATTTGTGGAACGAGGGCAAAGTTTTTACATTAGAGGGAAATGTTGGGTAAAACCAAAGACGATGCCAAGTGACAGCTTTCATTTTGCAGCAACAAAGTCGCTTGGTCCCTAATTTTGCCACCTATTGTGAAGTCTCATTGGTTTGGGGGGTAAGTGGCAAAATAAGGGACCTGACGTCTACTGAATATCCACTCGAGTCCAGTTATCAAGGGAACAAGGCTTTTTCTTAAATTTGAAAAAGCAAACAAATGCAAGATACCAACTAATTGTCCCAATCACCTTCCCTAAGTCACATGGAATTTGAAAACAATGATCAAAACTTGACGACTTTCACAGCTTAAGCCCAACAGAGTGATCTCCGACACTCTCACAAACGCTCCACCCGTTGCTAACAGTGATCTATTTCCAAGGGTTGTTGAGAGGTATGGTGCCCAAGTAAAGCCATGCACGAAATAAATGTTTGTAACCTTGTGGCATGTCTTGTGTCATATCCTTTATTGTCAGAAGTCATCATTTACAAAATCAACCTCCTTTACCTCACAAAGTATTACAGTGATTCTAAATTTCAAATTAGAAATAAAGATAAAACTATTGCAGGTGTTTCTTTGCTTTCAACTCCAAAGTTCCACTGTGTTTTTTGTTTTTTCCCAACTGCAAGCCTATGTTTATTTTTCATTAAACATGAAAGCAATGAAATTGGCAAATATTCTCAATTAAAACACTTTCATTTCAATTTCTCAAACTGAAACAAACATGTTCTAGTGCTTATGGAGATTATTTCATTAACAATAATTTATTTGCCAAAAAAATTAAACATGCTTGAACTCAGCATTCACCAAACTGAAACTATGGCTTACATGTATTAATTCTTATATAATTGGGAAATCTCTTGACAAAAGAATGAAACTAAATTAATGAAATTTACTCCTCTGTGAGTTGGAGGCATGGGAAACCGTGACAAGAACAACAAAATTTTCCCTTGCCGAGAGAGAGGTGACAGTACTTGTAACAGTACTTGATGTGTGTCCGGAGCAATCAGTTTTCGAACATCACTGGTCCCATGATGTTAAATACATGCAGATGGAGTTAACTGTAGCAAGACTTAGTTCAATGCAACAACATCAGTGGAAAATACAGCACTTGTCACTGTCATCAGTATCTGAGTTGCTGTCATCGGTGGTAATGGTGCACTGGTGCTCTAGCTGAAGCAATGTTCTGTTCTTTTGCAGGTTGAGGTGGAGAAATCACACAAAGTTTCTTTGTTCATTCCCATCAACAACAAATTAAAATGCTTTTTGTAAGCACTGATGGTGAATATTTCCTATAGTCACTTTCCCTACACTGCAGCACTGGGCCTGTGTACATGTTCTGCAAGATGAGAAAGTGACATGTAGTTTGCTGTAATATAAATTTATTATAATCTATTTTTGTCAAAATATTGATCCTTATGTGTATTTTTTAGTTCGTAGGTGTTAGTTGTAAAACTCCACACAGTCACTTTTACTTTTGTGTTTGTTGTAAGAATGAAATGAGAGAAAAACCTCCACTGAATTACCTTTCTTAGAAACGGAAGTATTACTTGTGATGTTTAATAAACAAGCAGGAATTGATAATTTTCATGGAATGAGATACAATATGATTTTGCAACAAGTCAACTCATCCCTCCGAATGCGAGGGCAAAACGATTTGCCAGGCAGTGAGAAAATGTTATAAGGAACATGCTCAGTTGTCAGCAGTCACATGACTTCAGTCATGCATGAACAGTGACTTTGCAATATTGTAATCTGAAACTTTAAAAGACACTGTAATGAATATTAATTGCCCTCACGATGTAGAATGTTTTTGTACATGTATTTTGTAAACTAGACCTCAATACACAAACTTTTGAACAAGTGCAACTTACCGCTAAAGCGTTAGCTTTCCACATTTTTTCAGTCAGTGGGGAGAAGAAAAGACCTTTAGCAAGTCTGAAGGTATTTAATGTCGCTCAAAGTTGTTTACATTGCGCGCGAGTTAAAGCAGAAGGTAAGCACACGAAAATAGGGCCCCTCAAAATCAGGACCGCCCAAGATATACATGTACCGTTATGGACGTTAGAATTTAAAAACAGGGTGTTCTGTTCAACAAACGCGTCAGGAGATTGCACAAGAAAATGAGGAGAGGAGCGCAGAAAGCAATATAGTAATTTGTAGTGGCACATGAATCGGCTATTTAATCACCCCGGCGTTGACACTGAAACAAACGTACACATGGTACCGTCATAGTCTTTTTTTAATGAGCAAGGACACTGAAACAGCCAAAACATGCCAGGTCTGACAATTTTGTTTAGGCCTCATCCAGTTGTCATGGATAACTGAGGTGGGCATGTCCTCAATTGTACGTTAAAACCAATCATCATTAAGCTTCAAGCAAACACAAATAACAGTCAACCGTGTACAAACCTAGCTGGGCCTACTCGATCAGGTGGATGGATACCATGTACCACTCCGTTAGGGCTAACTTAACTTACCCTCCTCAAAGTGACCACAATTCCTAAGCTCTGCCCGAGAAATGTTCGTGTCGTATACTATCTTCTTAAGCTGCTTCGTTAGATTACTAAACTGCCTAAATTCCCCTGGAAGATCGCGACTTCTCGCTCGCGACCCACTCCTGCGATCCGCCATTGTCGGTACCTGTAGTGTATGTGACGTACACGTACGTATGTACATGTAACAGCTTAACTTAACTGAACAGTACACGGACAGTACATGTACAGTACATGTACTCTACGGTGTACATGTACATGTACATACATGTATGTACTGTACATGTATGGTTGTTGACAAGATGTGCGCATGTACCATGGCACTGCATTATTCATTATTGTGCGACCTGGTTTGGGCACAAAGTGCGCCACCTGGCCAAGCCGGAGTGTTATAAATAATTGTTTTCAACAAATTGTTTCGAGTAACGTTAATCAATGATTACCTAAAAGGTCCAGCCGAAAATGATTCAGGCACTCGAATTAATCATTCTGTAAGATGTAAGGACAAATGATGGAAATTGTTCATTTGACCAAAACAGTATTTCGACGGGGGTTTGTGGGAGGCTGATGTCTGGTATCGCGCTCATAAAGCGCGAGGCATGGGGGGACCTCTAGAAAATTATCTTGTTATGAAAATAATTTGTTAATTTGAACAGATCGAAAAGGGGAAGAGAGACGGAAAGGGGGAAACAAATGGGTAGGGGAGGGAAGAGTTGAAGGGAAACGTTTCCCTCAAACTTTTCGATTTTGGATATCTTAATCCAAACTATTTCCTCTTAAAAAACATAATGAACACTGTATACTCAGTGCTTCTGTGAGAACACATGAAAAATGTATTAGCAGCTTAATCGGATGAGACTCGAATCCACAACCTCCTGCTTATGAGTGCAGACGTCTTCCCCCGACTCGACCACCGAGCTTGCCGGCCGGTCCGATAATAGCACTGCAGTACATGTATTGCCGCGGATTAACGCTGCCCTGCAGAGCACACTTGAACGGTACAAGCTGAAGCGGGAATCATTTGGACTCTTGAATTTAACATTTACTCGATATTTTAACAGCAAAATATCGCGTTATGTCTCTAGCCCAGTTCAGTTAGAAAGTTAATAGAAAATTGTATATATGTACATGTACTATTTGAGCAATTAAGCAATTTTCCTGTGAAACTGTCTGAGACATAGGCCTACTGTGGTATTCTAAAGACGACACGCTTGCCATATTGTTAGCTCTTCTCCACCTTTTATTCCTCCCGGATCATGCTGTGTATGGGGGGGGGGTGCCTGAAAAACAATCGTAAGGTGATTTCAGCCTATGCCCCCAGAAAAAAATTGTGCATTATGCCCCCGCAAACATTCTTCACAAGCCACTGACACTGTGATAAACTTTTAAGATATTCTCAATGCATCTTGGGTATGTATGAACAATCCACACATGCGCAATCCCATAGGGTGTTGTTGTTGTTGTCATAGGGTTAATTGCACTTCCAGCTTATTAAGTAGCTATTTGCGCCAGGAGCAATAAATTCTTTATTAATCAGCATCCTGTGAGTGATGGATGGGAACCAGTAAAAAAAAATCATTTTTTTCCAAACAAAAATCATTGTACTTGATCATCAAGAAACAAGCCCAGTAGAAGTTTCCAAAACACAAACAAATTTGTGATAAATTTTCAAGAAGAAAAAAATAGGCCTTGCTCTAAGGAGTGCAGTCGTTTTTGCAGAAAATGAATGTGATCGGTTAAAGATGGATTCGCAGACTCTACACTAATGCACGGCCCGCGCATTTTGCGGAATACCGTGGAGAAATAAAAAGATGTGGGGCACCCTCGAGGCCTCATGAGCCCACTTGTCGGCGACGGCGAAAGAAGTAATTTGTACACAAGTAATGAGAAAAATGAGACGGCAACGGAGACGGTGACGTGATTTGTCGTCTTTGGAACACCATGTGACAGCGTTTCTACGATGGACAGCAAAAGTGCACACCAGAAAGATGCAAATTAAATGATACAGTTGTAGCTAAAGTTTACGTAGTGTGAATTAGTTATCCCAACTTCGTGATACTGTACGGCCGTGCGGGGTAATGAACATACTGTTTCACTTTGTTGATGGTACTGCAACGCTGTTCCCTAACTCAAAATGTAAAACGTTAATTAAACAATGATTTTTGGGGTATAAGGATATCCATGTATATGTAAATATATATTTACGAATTTTTAAATGGGCAAACGTCGCGGTTCATATTTCGTAAATGTAACACTTCCATTTCCAAACGTCAACCTTCCACCCTATTATTTTCAAACATCGCCGTTCTACTGACAAGAATGCCTGAGGGTACAGTGTCCATTTGTGCGACGGAAACGGGGTCAGTGCCTCCCCCCACCAGCTTTATGTTTTGTTGTTGTTGTTGTTTGTTTGTTTTTTATAATGAAAGGTAATTTGACCATCATAGGCATAATATAGACCCCCAGTCTTGCGCGTATCCGTGGTCTGCCAGTAGTTGAAATGCACCCCCAAGCGGCAAAGAGTTTTCCCATTGATATCTCCATAATGGAGATCAATAAGTTTTCCCAGCAGGTTCTTGATCGCGTTCTGCGTGTACGCAAGGACTATTAAGGAATAAATTCTTTACGCGTACTCAGCGTGCTCCGCGTCAATCGCGCCATTCATCCAAGAAAACTATGGAAGGGCTGCGTAGCACAGTGATGATCACAATATTGACAAGAGTGTAATATAAAATCAGTGCTCTGGGATATGTGATTGCTGAGCTTTCGGTAACTGAGCACCTTCTCTAGGGCAAGCAGATTCAGTGCACTTGCTGCTATGCTGTGATTGGCATCCGTAGAACTGAACCTGCTCGCCCTGAAGAAGGTACTCAGTTACCGAAAGATCGGCAATTATTTACATTAACATTTATTTCATTTTTCGGGATCAACATTTCACGGAATACAGTAACAAAGTTTACAAGTGAGAGAGACAGAATACACAAGACATACAAAAGACAAATGAACTGTATTTAACCAGCTCCCGCTGGATTACCCAAAAGAAACATGGTTTCTCTCGAGGGGCTCTTCAACTGGTTAAATAGGAAACAATAAGAATAATAATGAATAAAGATATGACTAATTTAAAAAAGTCATAAATAGACATGACTTTTATGGCATTAACATAAATTATAACTTAATAACTTATAGCTTAAATAAAGAAATAATGTGGAAAAGTTTATCCAACTTATTTTGTAGAGCTGTACTTGTATATCAACATTATTATGAAAAACAAACAGCAGTATGAAAATGAGAGTTCTGGACCAAACGCCCCTTTTTACCCGGTTTTTGCTAAAAACCATTGGGTAGTACATCGACCCAAAAAATCGACGAAACATTTTTGGTGGGAAAAAATGGGAAAATCCTGGAATAACGTGAATCCCGTTTTTGCTCAACACCCCTGGGTAGTATATCGACCCAAAAAACCGGGGATTTCCACTCACCTTTTGACCCCGGCACCGCTCGCTCGCTCGCTGTAAACAACTCGTGATTAGCGCCGGGGATTTCCACTCAACTTTTGACCCCGGCTGTAAACAACTCGCGACAGAAATCCCGCTCGAAGAAAAATGGAAAAAAATTTAGAAACCTATATATAAATAGAGATATGAGCAACCAGCAACACCGACCTGTACTAACGAATTTCAATCGATTTAAGAAGGCGTTTTTAGAAGATTTTGTCAAACGGTATAACATCCCATTACTTGCACCAAAACGTAAACATCATACACGATCAGAACTAATAAACGCTATACGAGCGGATCA